CGAGACGCGCGGACGAGCCATCGATCCTGATCGAACGGCTGTAAGTGGCTGGACCGCAATTTGGCCCAGGCGGGCGAGCGCGCCGCGGCACTTTGCCGGCCCAGGCCCAGGTTGCGGCCTGGGTGCGTCCTGCGCGCGCGCGGAGAGGCGGGCCAAGCTGGCTTTTGCCGGTTTTGGGCCGAGAAAGAAAGACATGAGCCCGTTTTTTCTTTTTTCATTTTCCTGGAAAATTGAAAAATGTAAATTGGCTCAAAAGGAAAAATAGAAAAGGTAAATTTTCCCTATGGGTAAAATTCAAGAAATTGAGCATACGTTTTCCGCTGCTAAAGAAAAAGTACATTCTCCAGTGATTTTGAACAGACGTGATATTTAACTGGAGAAAAGAAAAGTTTTTCCAGTAAATATTTATTTCCTGGAAATTGATTAATAGATTAAAGAAAATAGAAAATACAATTTTTTCCTGTGGGTAATATTTAAGAAAAGGAGAAGTTTTTCCACAGCTAGAGAAATTGTTTATTCTCCAGTTAATTTGTACCAACGTGGTATTTAATTGGAGAAAAAGAAATTTGACATGATTATGATATTGTTATTTTCTGACTAACATTGTTAATAACAATATCGTAATTTTAATGATTTATGCATTAATTCTACTTCTGCCCAACGGTGATGTAGAATTAATGTATAAGAAAAGTTGATAATTTTAATGATTTCTACATTAATTCTACTTCTGCCCAACGGTGATGTAGAATTAGTGTATGAGAACAGTTGTAAAAGTTAATGATTTATGCATTAATTCTATTTCTGCCCAACGGTGATATAGAATTAGTGTATAAGAATAGTTGTATGTTTTGATTTTGACCAACGTTGGAATCAAGGCATGCAAATGGTGTTAATTTTATGTTAAGAAAAGTTTTGACCTGATTTTCATCTTGTCTAAGATGGACTGCGTAGTCATCTCACCGTGTTCCACTGAGATTGTGGCACCGGTGAGGGAGAAAAAAAAGAATGATGCCACTTGGACAACTAAAGAGAGGGATTTTGAATCCCAAAAGATATCCTATGACTCCTTGGGTATAGGAAATGAATCACTACCAACAAGAAAAAGTTTGGCTATGATAAAGAATATGATTGAGCTTGCAATTGTGGGCTCAAACTCAGAGTGTGACACGGTCACCGAGTACCTCGATAGAATAAAGAGTCAGTTCACTGGCTCTTCAAAGACATGTGCTATCCAGTTGATAAAGCAGCTGGTGACAGATAGTCACTCTGTAATGGTGGCATAAGAGAGCTCACAATGCGTCGTCGAAATCATGGCACTATCGTTCAGGCCATATTTCGAGGGGGAGAATAGAAAGACTAGTTAAGAATGATATTCTTTCTCCATTAGAGCTCTCAGATTAAGAACAATGCAGAGAATGCATAAAAGAAAAGTATGTAAAGAAAGATGACAAACGAAGCACAGGAATTTTACAGATTATCCACACTGACATCTGTGGTTGGCTTTCCTGTAAAGAGTGTGGATGGTTATGATTCGTTCATAACATTCACAGATGATTACTCCCATTATGGCTATATTTATCCAATCAAAGAAAGAAAAATATGTATTGGATAAATTTAAGATATTAAAAGTTGAGATAGTCAGGTCTGATCGTGGGAGAGTACTACGGTCAGCATACCCTAAAAGAATGGCATAGTAGCCTAGTATTCTACACCGGACGAACCTCAGCAGAATAGAGTAGCTAAAATGATCAATCGTACCCTGATGGATATGGTGGACAGTATGATAAGTTACTTCACCTTACAGTTGAGCCTGTGAATGGAGGCGTTAAAACCGTCATTCATATTCTCAATAGAGTATCAAGAAAGTCGGTGCCCAAAACACCGTATGAGTTGTGGACAGAAAGAGTACCCTCACTAAACCACTTGCGTGTATGGGGGAGAGCCCTGCCGAGGCTAAAGTATTTAACCCAAATATTGGGAAACTAGATCCCAAAATAGTAAGTTGCCATTTCATTGGCTACAAAGAAAAGTCAAAAGGTTTTCGTTTCTACTATCCAGAGTGACATACAAAGTTTGTGGAAACGAGACACACTGTCTTCCTAGACAATGAATTGATGAGGGGGGCATGGTAGCTCAAGAAATTGATCTTGAAATGAAACGGGTGTATGCGCCCGCTCCAATGATTCATGAGCTATTTTTCTCACTACCTGTTGTCGCTACACCGACAGTACTAGATACTATGGTGCCAGCACCTGTTGTTATCCCACCTGTGGCAACAATGAATGACGATGAGGAACCTATTCTTTAGGATTCTATAGAACCTATTGCCACACATGAGGGGGAGCAACAACATGCTCAAATAGAAGATGTGCCAAATGTGAAGGCCCCTAGTAGGTCTCAAAGAGTTAGAAAATCAGCTATTCGTGCTGATTATGAAGTGTACAACACTAAATAATTTCAAATGGAGGATGATCCCACCTCATTTGAATAAGCCAAAGTGGCTTGAGGTCATGGAAGATGAAATGAAATCAATGAATGCCAATATAGTTTGGGACCTGGAAATAATTTCTAAAGGAGCCAAAACAGTAGGCTGTAAATGGGTCTACAGAACAAAACTTGACTCTCAAGGGAATATAGAGACATATAAAGCGTGACTTGTGGCAAAAGGCTTTATGCAAAGAGAAGAGATCGATTATAATGAGACATTTTCTCCAGTCTCATGTAAAGTTTCTTTCAGAATCATAATGGCATTAGTGGCACATTACGATTAAGAATTACATCATATGGATGTAAAGACGGCATTTCTCAACAGAGACTTGGAGGAAAATGTTTACATGGCACAACCGAAAGTTTTTGTCATGGAAGGAAAAGAACGAATGAGATGCCGCCTAAAGAAATCAATTTATAGATTAAAGCAAGCTTCAAGATAGTGAGACTTGAAGTTTGATCAGTCAATAAAAAATTTTGGGTTTTAAAAGAGAATATAGAGGACAATTGTGTCTATGTAAAGTTTAAGAATAGGAAGTTTATCTTCCTTGTCCTGTATGTAGATGATATCTTACTTGCTAGTAGTGATGTCAGTCTACTATAGGAGACAAAGAAGTTTTGTCCTCAAAACTTGATATGAAAGATCTTGACGAAGCCTCGTTCGTTCTAGGGATCGAGATTCACCGAGATAGAAGAAAATGATATAATGACTGTCACAAAAGGCATACATAGAAAAGATCTTAAAGGAATTCAGTATGCACAAATATAGTCCCTCACCTGCTCCTATAGTCAAGGGCGACAAATATGGGGATTTTAAATGCCCTAGGAACCAATATGAGCTCAATCGATAAAGTAAAAGTGGTTCCATATGCTTCAGCTGCCAGAAGCTTGCAACATGCTCAAGTATGTACGCGCCCTGACTTGGCATTTGTTACCGGGTTTTACTTGGCAGATTCTAGAGCAATTCTGGAATAGAACACTGAAATAAGTAAAGAAAGTCGTGCATTATTTACAAGGAATAAAAGGCCTCATGATGACATATAGAAGATTTGATTCACTCTACATGGTGGGATATTCAGAGTCTGATTATGCGAGAGTGAATGCATATCCAGACGTGGATTTTCTATCATCTCGCAAAGGGGAGCTATTTCATGGAAAAGCTCAAAGCAAACTGTCACTACATCGTCCACAATGTGTGATAGTTTGTAGCGTATTATGAGGCAACGGGCAGGTGAACTAACTAACGAAGTTCATACCCGGTTTGAAGGTGGTTGACGACATCTATAGACCACTAAAGTTATACTGCGATTATAATCTGGCAGTAAAGGATGCTCACAACATAAGTCAAGTGGTGCTGCCAAACACATTGACATAGAGTATTATGTTGTGAAAGATAAAGTCCGAGATCAAGTTATAAGTCTTGAGCATATAAGAACAGAAAGGATGCTCGCGGATCCGCTTACAAAAGGTTTACCACCCAACATGTTCAGAGGACATGGTGTTCAGAGAACATGTAGCTAGCTTAAGTTTAAGGGAAAGCCTAAAATATTTCTAGACAAAAGAAGGCCCAAAGATAAGTATCTATTTTAGAACAGAGTAGTGAGTTGTAGCTGTTAAGTCTATCGGCAATGAACCGTGACGATGAGACATGTTCTATGAGCTAATCTGTAATGGAATGAACAAAAGTAAATGATATGAAAGTGAAAGATAGAATGAGATCAAGGGGGAGAATGTTAGTTGATCTCCACCAATAGGCCCAACGACCTATTGGACCCTTATCTCTGCTCCCTGATCGGGGGAGCCCAACCCTAATCCGGTTGGTGGGCCCCTGTCGCACAGTACACATAAAAGGAATGTGGGGGTGAGGGCTCGGGCAACGAGGTTGACTGGAGCCGCCATCTCACATAAAGAAAACCCTAATCCGATCTAAAGGCCGTGCTGCCAGCGACGGGATGTGACCCACCACCGTCGCGCCTGCAGGTTCTCCGCCGGCGCCACTGGACTTCTCACCACCGCGCTGGACGACTTCTACTGCACCGACGGCATCGGCGTCTACGCTTGCCGATGCGCTGAACAGAGAAGGTGAGGAGCCTTCCCACCTCTACGGGTTACACAGAGGTACGAATCTACGTTTATAACACCCCCTGCCTGCCTCTGATCCGCGCCCTTCGTCGGATAATAAGAAAGCACAAGGGGCGCGTGGAATGAAAAGCAGCAACGGACGGGACAACGTATGTACGCGCGCGGCGCGCACCTCGCCGTCCCTGCCGCGCTGCCGTTGCGCATGCTCGCTGATCTAGTCATCTGATCTGTGTGTTGTGGGAGTGTGGCCGCCACCACTATAACTGCTCATCTATATATAAACCAGCAGCACCACCACCACACAGTTCGCCGACCCTCTCCTCCTGCCGTCTGTCGCGGACGCTAGTCCATTTCTTCTTCCGTGTTGGCCGGCCGGCTAGGCTTGCGGTCGGGCGCGACGGCCGACGGCTCTGACGACGGGGCCGGGCGGCATGGGCGACGGCGACCACAAGGAGGGGCTGAAGGCGGGGGGAGGAATGGCGGGGCCGGCGGCGTCGTGGCGGCTCAACGTCAGCGATTTCCAGATGCCGGAGCGCCCCAAGGAGCCGCCCTTCGTCACCAGGGTCTTCCTCCGCAGCCACGGTACGGCACCCCGCACCCCCTCAACTCGCTCGATCCTCTGATCTGTATGCATGCACAACTACTCCATGTCTGCAATATATATTCAGTTCGATCGGCAGATCAAATGGCGCTAGTTATTGTCCCGGGTTAGTACGTATCTCGTGTTCACGTTCCGTGTCTCATGGTAACTCGTAACTGATCGATTGATCAACTGGCAGAAGAAACTGACTGAAACTGCTAAGGCCAGCAGGTACAATTCTTGCTTCTCTTAGTGACCTCGGTTAGTTAACTTCAAGATAATATACCACCGAAAAGATCATGGCAAACCGACTATGGCGATAACAACAATAAAAAACGGTGCTTAGTGGAGTCCCATGCATGTGGACCGTATAATTGTATACACCTTTTTTTTGTGTGTGATCCTTTCATCAGTCATGCCGTGCATGCATGGCCCTGCTTCCACACTTCAAAAGTTCAAAGTATCAAAGTGGCGATAGTTACATACTTCTAGTGCGTTCAAAATTGTTGTCATGAAAGCAGTGGCCTGTATTTTAGTTTGTTCGCGGTCCTTATGTATGTTGCACGCTCCGGTAGCCCGGAGCTAGTCCCGGATGATCTGCTCGTTTCCTGTGTTTTTCTTCTGAATTCCTTTACGTTTTATATTTAAGCTCGGAGAACTTGATTTGCGATTTGTGTCCATATTCTGCGAGTATCGGCAGTGAACGTACAAGAGAACAGATAAGACCGGTATATTTCTTCGGAGCATAGTTTGAAAACATTAGCGATTTACTACATATATATGTCTCATACAAACTGAACATATACTCGAGATTTTGGTAAAAAAAAATATATACTCGAGAAAGTAGTCGTAGTCAGAGTTGGACAGAAGTAGTAAAAATAAACCCCGGCCGGTCCAGTAACTGTGCACTGATAATCTGATACTCCTAGATACTTACATATGTGAAACTGGTGAACGTCTTCTGAGTTCGACTTTACCGATGAAGAGGGAAATGGAATAAAAATGTTGGGTCGATCTCTAGCTGCATGCAAGCTATACCTGTCCTAGTACACTTTTCTTGTTGTTCCTGGCTGGAAGGCGTTTCGATTGAAGCCTATTCTCGTTTTTGTCATGGACACGGTCGAGGGCATTCCTATGGACTATGGGAACGTTACTTTTTTGAGCTTGACAATTACAAGACGCTTAGGACGACGTAATCGCTTAGAGAAGTCCAATCACGCTTGTTTTTGGCGCAAATATATAAATGAAATCTCTGTCGGCGAACCGCAGGGGTACGACAACGATCGAGCGAGAATTGTTTTGGCCTTCGTTTTAAAAAAAATGGTTTGGGCTGCTGTATCTGTGTTCCACGTACGTACGTACGCAGCATGCGCATTGATTGCTTCAGTGCATGCACGCAACTCGGCAGCCTCGCCAGATTTGGCGTCGCACGCGGCACATTTCGTGCGAGTAAAGGATATGCTAGATGCCAGGAGTCAAAGAATGATCCGTGTAAAATACTGAAAGGTTTCGTGCAGCTGGACTACGTCTGCGTTTAGATACCCATGGATTGTAGAAGCTAGCTTTTAAAAGTTAGATTGTTAAAAGCTGGATCATACAAGCTCAATTTGGATTCATGTGTCGCTGAAGCCGAGGTAGACTGGTCTGTAGAGCAAAATTACCATTTGGATTCATACATCGCAAAAGCTAGGGTAGACAGGTCTGTAGAGCAAAAGTACCATAATGCCCTCCATCTCTTGGCCAGATGGGCCAAAAGGCAATGTACAAATTGGCCAAATTGGATCCAAAAGTAGAAAGAAGCTAGATTTCCTCATCTTAGACGGTCTCCAATGGTTGTCCTATATGGGCACCCATACCCAAAATGGGTCTTGAATGATACTATATCAGCCTTCAATAGAGCACCCATATGCAAGACCCATTTTAGGTTACAGCAAAGGCACAACTCAAATATGAGTATTCTCTTTCCTAGAGACTAATTTGCAGAAAGGGTTCTCTTTTAAGTCATGTTGTTGGAGAAGACAAAAAATATGTACGTAACTCTTTATCTGTAGCGCTACCCAAACGTGAAATAGGTCTTGTATTTTAGGTAATATTGTTGGAGATAGCCTCAGTAGATCGTGGAATCTAGAGGCTCCTGACTGTAGATGTTGGCTATAAGTTAATAGAAATGTTTGGATCCCTAGGTAGCTTCTAGAAGCCAGCTTCCATAATTTGCTGGAATCCAAGCAAGCCCTATTTAGCCATGGAAACGTATTAGTGAGTACGAAGTCCTAATCTTTATCCCGTTGTGCTGTATCACTATGTGCAATTTTTGCAGTATAGTATAGTTAAATGTGACTAGCAAAATCTTTACCTGCGCTCGTATTCCTTCTTATCCCACTTTATAAGGCGCTCATGTAAATTAAAATTCAAATTTTATTAACCCATAATTTAGTAAAATTAAATTTGTAATGAGAAGTACTTTTGAGTAATTATAAGTTTACAATTATAAACAATATAAATTAAAGTAAATAAAAGGTTAAAGTATAATTTTGATAACCCTCTGCCATGCTAAATTACGCTGGTCAAGATGTAGCCGAAAGACAAAAACGCACCACAAACTAAGCCAAGTTGAATGACGCAAGCAAGGGCTCGCAGATAAGGCCAGCCACATCGTTCCATGCTGGCTTGGAGCCCCAGCTCCCATGTGGACGTGCATCATCCAAAATCACCGGCGATGGCTTCGCAGAGGGTCGTCAAAAGTGTCTCCAAGTCCTTAGGCTAACAAAAGGCTAAAGAACCTGCTGAAACATGAGTTGTGGTGAGAAATGTTGACGCCTCATCTCATGGAATGGTAAAAAGGTTTGGCAAAAGGTTCGTGCTGGTGGATATACGTTCCCGCGTCTTCTTTGCATGCGTGGCCTGTAGAATTTCCGGGGCGTGCCTTTACTACTCCCAGATAAGTACTACCAAGACGCAACCATCTGCTTTCGGAAAGTGGAAAGCTATATGGAACCACTGGCACTACTACGTTGGTCAAGGTCGCTTTCTCAAAGAAGTTTCGACGCCTTCGCCAGCGGTGGCCACTTGGGCAGGGCAGGTGGGCTTACTCCGTACGTTGATGTGCGTGGCCGTGGCTGCGCGCGGTGCCGTCTCCAATTCTGTATCGTTCTCTCCCCGTGGTCCTGGTCCTGCTCCTGCTCATGGAGGAGGGGAGGCGGAGCGGATGAGATCGATCCTAACCCCGTCACGTCCGGCGGTCCGGGTCGCATTCCCTTTCCGTCCCGGGGAAAAAGGAAACGGAACCTTATCTACGTCATGCCGGCATGGCAGCGACGGAGTCACAGGTCCAGATTCGGTCAAGTGGGGAAGCAGCGAAACACCGCCTGGGTCGCCTGCCGCTTAGACGCTTCGTGATTGGACACAACACGCGGCCATTCCCCGTCTGGCCCTGCGCGTGGCGTACGCACGATTGGGCCACGACGCCAAAGGCGGCCCTAGGCTCTTAGGGAAGCCAACCAAGCTGATCCGAAACGTTGCGTTGCGTCCCGCACCTTTCCGTTCTTGGGCACGCGAGCGGCGATAAAGTCTCCCGAGGCGCGGTGGCGGTGAGTCCGAGCAGAGTCAGAGCTGATCGACTTGCACGCGGCGGCCACTAGCCAAGCCTGCCGACTCCAGCCGCGGGTGGCGCGGAGACCATGGGGAGCCCGAACCAAGGACGCGGCGTTGACAGTGGCGGCGAGGAGGGCGACGCCGGGTCGTGGCGGCTGCGCATGGACGGCGGCGGCTTCAGCGTCCCGGACCGGTTCCACCGCCAGCCGCCGCCCTTCTACGCCAGGATCTTCGTCGGCCGCTCGCACGGTGCGCCGCACGCACCCACGCCCCCCCTCCATCTTTCATTTTGTCTCTTGCGCCAATTCTTATTATTGTTTGCTCCCGTCTGCTTTCGGTTTCGCCGCGCAGTTTCTGTCTTCTTCATATAAGGCAATCTCATTATTAGTGTAGTAGGAGAACGAGAAAAATCCTCCCACAAGAAAATTGACAGCAAGGCTATTGGAACTGAGCTCACAACTCGTCGCTGTTGATGATTTGGCGGCTCTATAAATTATGGCATTGATTCTCAAGTTAGAGCTCTTCTTTTATGTGCCTGCAACTCTCGACGCCATTGGCAGGTGTGAGCAGCTACTGATTTTCATTCTACCACAACCTTAGGTTGTTTCACCGAATTTAAATGTCAAAGTTTAGCCGCCACCACACAAAGCCGGCTGATAAGTCGGCTGAAGATGTTTTGTCGTGTGAGAAAAATGCTGTAGATTCTAGCTGATAAGTTGCCTGATAAGTTTAAGCGAACATGCCCGTAGTGGAAGTACTTGCAGCTTTTCCAATATCTTTGTAGTGGAAGTAAACAATCTAACCGCACAAAGGTACTGGTGGTGACAGGGCAGGTGCTCCAAATTCCTTCAGAAAACAATGCGTTTATTGTGTTACAGAGGAAAATATGACAATGACAAGTCTTTGTTTTCAATTCCCACCACACATAATATGCCTATTCAAACGGCACTTTGTCATGTACACTACTATTTCCATTGGTTGCCTTAATTTAATCTTTGATTTGGTGGACATGACTGTTCTTGTCTCCATGATCATACCGATGTCCTGAATCCTGCCTGTAAGCGTAGCCGATGATGTGCATTTGACCATCACAAATTACCTCTCAGACTCCTGACTGCAAGCATAGCCGATAATGTGCATTTGGCCATCACAAATTACCTCTCAGACTCTCACTGTGTTTCATACAAGCTGCTTCTTATGTCTTCAAATGTGTGGTAAGACTGGATCATCTCGTGCGTAAAAGTCAGTTGGCAAAGCACTTTGCGTGCCCTTAATAAAAGATGATGCTGGAGTATATAGGAAGCTCAACCCTTTGGTTGGACAAGATGTTTTCCAAGTTACCTTTGGTTAATCGATCATTGTTTTTCCTTTTGTTCTGTTTTGTCCTGCACCACCTCTGATAGTTCAGTTCCTCATCTCAGGGAAGCAGAGGAAGATCGCAAAGTACTACAAGAAACAGGAAAATCTACTGAAGGATTTCAGCGAAATGGAGACCATGAACGAACTTGGTGGCGTAGATCAGAATGCTCCTTCCGAGGTGC